ACCAAAATGAAAGAAAATTTATTGTTCTAAGTTACACACCCTGGTAAAACCAAGAGTACTTTGTACCCCCACTTACTTGTTTGCACTTCTCCCCAAAATTTGGTTCCAGTCCCTCAATATATGACCATTTTGGAGGGTGTGACGGATAGATAGATAGATAGATAGATAGATAGATAGATTAATTGAAGTTATTTTATGTAATAAATTTTATATATATAGATTTATATTAAAACAGTTTCTAAGGAAAATCAAATTATTAAGTAATCTGTTATGAAACGTGCTAGTGTTACTTGAGATTTCCGTTCAAACCGTTTATATATTTTAGTACGGAATGTCAATAACATGATTATATCCTTATTTCTTTGCTATTTTCCACGGGCTACTTATTATTATTAGTGTTCAATGTCCTCAGCACGTATTTTTATTTGGTAAAGCCATTTACCATTTTGTAACATCAGTCTATAGAATCCGATGAAGGATTTTCTTCTTTAAAACGCAAAACATTCATTCGCCTGAAACCATTTTGAATTATTGATCTATAAAACTATTGCAGACAAATGATAGTTTACACACTTTTAACGAGTTGGGTGTCATGTATAACCTCTACACGACAGTATAGATCTGACGAGGCTATTTGAGAACATGGACTCAGTTCTTAAATGTTAACGTTTGTAGTATATTTCGTTTTTAAACAGAACTACTCTTAGAGCAGCCTATCCAATCTTCAACGTCCTTATCTCTTTGCTATAAGAGATTCATAGGACGAGGTATTTGAATTCTTCGGTATTTATTAATCTCATTTTCTGAAACTTCACGATGGATTAAGAGTATGTGTCTCCTACACTCTCACTACCAACATGGCCTGATGTTACTCGTGCTTGATTCAAAAATCGTACGACTCATACAGCAATCACTATCACTTGACTTAAAATATTTTTGCCCTTCCTTTGCTTTTAAATGAGTGCCCATTGCCGTGCTGATGTTGCTACATGCCTTACTTCTTGCCTATCTCACACTGCGAATTTTTTTCTAAGCTCTATACTAAACATTAAATCTGTTACGAAAAAAGAACTAAACAAAATGAACACAAAACGATCAGCTTTAAAAAAGGACTCGTAACTGGAAAACCGAAACAAAAAAAAGAATGTTAACAACAAATAATTTTTCACACCCAACCCAGTTCTGCGGAATCAGAATCAACGTTGAGTTTAAGCAAGCAAATGAGTCAATTGGAGTAAAGTGACATGCAGATTTAAATTTTTCCCACTTGTGACGAATGCAGCTATCGATTTTTTTGCAGGCTAGCATGCTAGTTAACATTCGTGTCAGTCAGCTGTTAGCTCTCACGCTGGCCAATAGAATCTTCCTGCCTATTCGGGGCAGCCAGCTATTGGCTCTCAATCTGGCCAGTAGAAAATGGCCGCAAACTACAGGAAAACTGTCGTAGAAGCATGAAAAATCGATTATTTCCACTATCGATGGGAGTTGAGAAATGCAGAGTTGGTCTTGGCCTTCCCGCTAACTTGGAGCATGTGCATGTAAATCTTGGTGCAAATCCGTCGAAATTGTGACGTGCATTCGTTACACATACACACACATACACACATTCTGCCTTTTATAGATAGAGATTGAACAGATTTCATAATTCAATAGATTAATTTCAGACTAGTTTAACTTTAGTTTTATCACTGTTTATTTTATCACAACCTTCAGTTATCTTAGATTTTAGTATCGTGATCAAACATCTCTGACATAATTTTAAAGCACCGCTTTCATAAATTAGTCTTCGTACAGTTTTAGAACTATTCACACACAATTCCATTACACTTCATATGATTTCGACTATTCAATTGAATTATTCTACGAAAAAAATATGAGTAATATATCAAGTAATCTTTTTTCAAATTATGATATTATTGTGCGCACTCCCTTTATAATATATGCACGCCCATTTTGTAAAATCTCGAAGCGTGAAACAAGCTGTATGTAGGTAAATATAACATTAAAAGTATTCTATGCAGAAATATTTATAATCGGAGATTACAAAGATTTAAAAATACTGAAAGCACTCAGTGCGGACCAGAGCAATCCAATAAAGTCGTGAGCTTTCTCATAGCACTTAAGACTCAACAGACTAGTAAATGCTTGAGAAATCTCGAACAAAATGAAACCGTTTAATAGGACTTTAATATATATATATATATATATATATATATATATAGCATAATGATGAGCCACGTATACTTTCTTAATATGTATATATGGAAAAAGTTGCAAATTAAAAAAATAATAATGTTTTTTTTATAAAAGTATTTATTTATTTATATATATTTGATATTTCAGATTGACCACAATCTTTCTTGCGTCCCTAGCGAGATGCAGACATCACGTGATATGGAACGCAACTGTGTTCGAATATTCTTAACGTAAATCTAACTGTAATAATATCTAAGATGTTGCTTAAAAAAAATAAAATAAGAAATAATAAAAATTTTAACTA